TCGTTGCCGAGAGCGCCGCCGCAATGAGTATCCTGATAGCGGTTACGAGAGGTAGGCAGTTATCTCGTCCTCCTCCGATAACAGGCCAAAACCAGACCATAGCAAGCGAATTCGGATGTACGGGAACAATAGAAACCCTCGATATAGCTAAGCTTTTGATTTGGCTAGAAGAGAATTTAGAGAGGACAGAGAGAGATCGGGGGATGGTATGCCTGATTGCCTGTTACGGAGAACTCCGTATTTTTTTTAAATTCGAACAGGATGCGAGGGAGAAAACTTTCCGCTTCTTGTTTCTTTTGGTTACCCAAGTTCCAACCGGTAGAGGACCCGTACTTAGAAGCTGTTCCGTTCACCTGATCTGAATTTTTTAAGTTCTGATCTGATCTGATCTGAATTTTTCCGATCTGATCTGATCTGAATTTTTCTGATCTGATCTGATCTGATCTGAATCTTTCTGATCTGATCTGAATCTTTCTGATCTGATCTGAATCTTTCTGATCTGATCTGAACGTTGCTGAACTGATCTGAATGTTGCTGATCTGATCTGATCTGATCTGATCTGAATGTTTCTGATCTGATCTGAATTCTTCTGATCTGAATCTTTTTTATTTGATTTGAATATTTCTATAATTGTAATTATAATTATAATTATTAGATTTATAATTGTAATTAAAAATATAACTTAAATAAAATTACAATTATAATCATAATTATAAAAAAATAATAATTAAAATTAAATTTAAAACTATAATAATTATACCAATTACACTAATTATAAATACAGATACAATTACAAATGTAATTATATTTTTAATTATGATTAGTTTTATAATTATTTTTTTTGTAATTATAATTATAATATTTATCTCTATAATCATAATTATATCTATAATTACTAATTTAAATATATAATTACTCCGAAATAATAATAATTACAAAAATAACAACAAGAACAACAATCATATTAATAATAATGATGATTATAATTATTATTACATTGTAAATCATAATTATAATTATAATTATAAATATATTATATTATATTATATTATATTATATTATATTATATTATATTATATTATATTATATTATATTATATTATATTATATTATATTATATTATATTATATTATATTATATTATATTATATTATATTATATTATATTATATTATATTATATTATATTATATTATATTATATTATATTATATTATATTATATTATATTATATTATATTATATTATATTATATTATATTATATTATATTATATTATATTATATTATATTATATTATATTATATTATATTATATTATATTATATTATATTATATTATATTATATTATATTATATTATATTATATTATATTATATTATATTATATTATTATAATATAATAATAATCTTATATTATTAACATTATTATTATATTATTATTAATAATATTAATATATTAATATTATTAACAATAACTATAATATAATAATCATAATTAATATAATAATAAAAGTGATAAATCATGTTTGAATTTTTTGATCTGATCTGATCTGATCTGAATGTTTCTGATCTGAATGTTTCTGATCTGGTCTGATCTGGTCTGAATCTTTCTGATCTGATCTGAATGTTGCTGATCTGAATCTTTCTGATCTGATCTGAATGTTTCTGATCTGATCTGATCTGATCTGAATCTTTCTGATCTGATCTGATCTGATCTGAATCTTTCTGATCTGATCTGATCTGAATAAAATAAGATTAAGGAATAAGTAATAAGATTAAGACGAACGGAACAGCTTCTTAGTGTGTGCACAACTCTAAAACCGGACCGGAACTGATTAGGATACAGGGCCGGTCCTGAGGCATGGGCAGGAGGGGCATGCGCCCAGAACCCTTTGCTCCAGTACGGCCCATAAATTTCTTAAACATATATGTGTACATAAATATTTTAATTATATATACATCCTAAAGCTATAAAAAAAATAAAAAATAAAATCAAACTTATATTTTTAGATACTTCTAATTTGTTATTTACCATCTACACGATACAGGTCTATAATTTAGAAACATCCATATTAGAATTCGTTGGGAACATATTTCACCATTTCTTTTAAATCATTACGGATTATTACATTAAATTTAATCTTTTAATGACTTAGTGTACATGCCTTATGTATATCCAGAATTCATTGATGTATTTCACAAATTTCCTTCAATTCTCTCCTTAGTGAAAGATTGAACTTTAGTGTCCATAATTTAGAAACTTAGAATTTGTTTTTGTCTAGTGAATATGTGATTTAAAATATGAAAAAGTTACTCCTTATACAAGATATAGCTTTCACAACTTTCTTTAATTCAAAAATTTTATTGTGCCTAATATATAGTTGCAATACTTGTTTCACTCGGCTGTTAGGTACATTGTATCATCGAATGTCACTTATCAATACCCTATATATATATATATATTTTCTAACCATGTGCTTTGTTGGTTTTTTGATGTGTTATACTAGTACTTTGACGGTAATATTGTACAATTTTAAATTATACTAGTAGATTTTCATAGCAAAAGGACATTATAAACATTCCCGTGCTATACCTAAGGCCCAGCCTGTTTGCATTGTCCCGGGCCCATAAAATGTCAGGACCGGACGTGTTAGGATCGGAACCGGAATCTTAATTTTATAAGGACCAAAGATCGGACCTAATATTAACCTTTCCAGACTGATGACACTGACCTGAATTTTCAGGTCCAATTCGGTTTTAACCCTAATTGACCCGTTTTTTAAAAAAAATGCATATTATCTTAGATTGTGTTGTAGACTATACTTTGATGCGCAAATATGCTAAATAGACTATAATCCATAGACCAAGACACACCTGCAATCTTCAAATAAAATGTATAAATCACATCTAGAGACCTTACGCACACAAGTTGCTTTTAATTTGCTTGTATAAACCACATCCAGACACCTGCACCTAGGGAAAATCAAACAAATATATAAACACCACTACATCCATAGCGAAACAAATTGAAACTAGCCTGGTAAATAATCAGATACGAATGACTTTCTATTGCATAGACATCAATCTAGATTTTTGTTTCAATGATAGCAAAAGAATTTATGAAAATCAAGTCCTGTAAATAACAAACCGTAGTGCACCAACTCTCTAATTTACTACTCCATCCGTCCCTCAATACTTTGCCAAGTTTGACCGGCACGGGAATTAATAAAATAAAAACTGTGTGGTTGAAGTTTGTACAGATGAGAGAATTAACTGGAACCACAAATTCTTTACTTAAAAGAGAAAGTGACAAAGTTATTGAGATATCCAAAAAAGGAAAGTTGGCAAAGTTATAAGGGACGGAGGGAGTATGTATGTATTTAACCAACGATACGGACGGAACTCACTAAAGCATATATTTTACGGAGCAATAAGTTAATGGGCCACCGGTCCGGGCCGATATTTCCGAGTTTGACTCGGACCGGAACGGAAACTTAGAATCGTAAAATTCGAAGTACCGAAACCTAGACCTATTTATACCGGTCCATTCCGGTCCGGTTCGGGTCTAAAATACGGTCCCGTCCGGCTAATGTACACCCATACCCGTGCTTAATTAATAGACATTTCCATTTTATATGTTTTGTTTTAGTTTGACAAAATTATTAACAAAGCGTTTTGATTTGACAAAACTATTAATGAAGAGTGTTGCTCCAAAAATGGATGATCATAGGCTTTTCGGGAAAGCTACAATAACGCTCAAGCAATAATCAAGAAAGTAATACGAAAAAGGAAAGCAGCTAAGGAGGTTTAGTTGTCAGAAAATAGCTTTCATGAATCACTACTTTAATTTGAATTACATTCTGCTTTTACAAACATATACAAATCGTAACCGCTATCAATAATAATGACTAATTAATTTTACATTAATACAAGATTAAATATATAATTAAGTAATGCATTAATTACTTGATTGTTACTCTTACTGGCAGGTAGGTCGGTCAAACTAGCAGGCAGGCCCCGGGCTTGGGCTTGGGCTTGCTGGCTCAAATCATGGGCTTGGACTCAAGGGTTCAAGCTCAGGACTTGGACCGATTAGGCTCTGAGTCTAGTCTTATAACTCCATCATGCAAAGAGTTTGAAAAATTAAAAGTTATGATTACAATTTGAGTATCATAAAATAAAATGATATGGACCGCATATTTTTCCAAAAAAAATAAATGTGACACTTATTTTGTTATAATCCAAAAAGAAAAATAAAACAAGTATTATGGATGGAATAACTTTTTTATGAATAACTATTATCTGAGTATTTTAAATAGTAAATCATTATGTTTCTTAGTCAAATCGAGGTGTGACAATATTTACTTTAGAATATTTCCCTTCATGCCCTTGTGTTGTATAAAGTAAAAAATAAAAATAAATCAAAATTGTGAAGCAAAATAATTTAGATAAAAACCATCAATATTAGCCATGTCATTTATATAAATGAAAAAATAGAATATAGTTTGACATCTTTTTTACATCAAGAATGAAAAATAAAATCTAAAATTATTATGTTTAACTTAGAGATTGAAAAACTTCACTTTGTACTTTGTAGTATACTGTATACCTCATCCTATGTTGAATGTAATGTTTTAGTTTGACACAAATATTAATGAAGTGACTGCAAAAGAAAAAATGTGATTGAGATTTGAGTAAAATAAAGTGAAATGACGTGGAACCCGCTAACCCAAGTAAATTACCGGTCCGGTACATGTCAGAAACCGGAAAAGGTCAAGACCCAACAGAATCGGACAAAATCCGATTAGAACTAGTCGAGACCCGACAGAACCGATTCAAGTCCGGCGGAACCGGTCTATTTGGATCCAGTTAGAGCTTTCATTTCCTAACCCACACATGTGGATCCAGGTCATTGCTTCGATTTTCGATAGATGCTACCCTATGTTGCACGGAAACGCGAAAATCAGGAGCAAATGAGAAAATCAGGAGGAAACGAGAAAATCAGGAGCAATGGGTTAGGACGTTTAATTTGTCTTGGGAGGATGAAAAGATCAAATTGGAAGAGAAAAGGAATCAGTTATCACCCGTGAACTATGAAGAATTAATTAACGCAACACGAACAACAGTAATAAAGAACACACGAAATTTGGTAACCCAGTTCACCACAAAGGACTACGTCTGGGGGTGCTACCAAGCCAGGAATTGCTATTAATTTTGGATCAACTGATTACAAGAGAGAGCTTGTATTTATAGAGAGTAAAACTTAACCCCAAAGCAGAGTTGTTTGCCAAAATTTTGGATCAATTTTGGTTCTCTTGTGAAATGCTGAGTTGTTTGCCAAGAAGAGAGCACTTTGACTGTCACTGTAAAGTATGCTATTCTTGTACTCCTTTCCAAGTTCTTCAAGTAGATTCTGAAGCCACACCATCTCCTTCTTGCCTCGGTTATAGCCACATATTCTGCTTCTGTAGTAGATAATGCAACAATCTTGTGCAGTTGCGAAAGCCAAGAAACTGCCGTTCCACCAAATGTAAAAACATACCCGGTGGTGCTCCTCGATCCATCCGAGTCATTTGATTTAAGGTCTGCATCAACATGTCCCAGCAGCTCTACACTCTTTCCATCAAAACACAAGGCATTAGAAACAGTACCTTTCAAATACATCAAGATCCAATTCACAGCTTTTCAATGTTGTTTTCCTGGATCTCCCATGAATGTGCTCACTACTCCCACTACATGTGCAATGTCTGGCCTCGTGCACACCATAATATACATGATACTGCCAATTGAAGTAGCATGTGGAGTAGCAGAAGTCATAAACATTCTAAGTTTTCAAAAAAATCAATCATCATATAATACTTTGGTTGCATCTATGTTCTCTCCATGTTCATCCTATATTCCTATATTCCTATATCATTTAATTTTCTCTTGAGTGTAGTATTAGCAAATTCAGCACCATTAGAATCCTCAGCTGGCTGGGAAGAGTTTATGTCAACCAATTAGGATGTGAGTGTGAGTGTGTATCGATCATGATATGACATAATAAGCAATCAATATAGTGATATTAATTAAAAGTTGTGTAGTACTTCCTCTGTCCCCCTAATATTGGGACGGAAGGGAGTCCTGCGATTTTAAAAAAAAGTATATTATGTGATTAATGAGTTGATAAAGTGGGAATAAAGTAAGAATGAATTAGAGCCACACAAATGTTATCATATATGGTATGCGAAAATAATAGGGGGACATCCAAAAATGGTAAAATGAGACAATTACAGGGGGCGGAGAGAGTTTAGTGTGTGTGTGTGTGTGTGAATCAATATATATGTAGAGTTTAGTGTGTATATATATATAGCCATACAGGTGAAAAAAATTTATTTGTATCAACAAATATGTGTGAATCAATATTAAACAATCAAGATGGTGATATTTTAAAAACACGGATAAAAGCAACTAGTGTAGAAGGACAGGAGGGAGGAGAAGAAGAAATGAGAGTGGTGAGAGTAGTGGTGGACCGGGACCGGTCTGGTTCCGGTTCGGGCCTGGAAGGTTTAGGGTAGGGACCGGAACCGGCCCGGTAGGGTATCGGTTCCGGGCCGGGCCGGTTCCGGTTAATTTCTTTTTGTGTTTTATTACTTATTTCAACCCCTACCCCCCATCCCCCCCGCCCACCCCCCAAATCCCTTGGAATCACCCCTTCCCAGCCCACCTAAACCCAGTCCAAACCAAAAAAGAAAAAGAAAAAAAAAAGAGAGGCCCGAACCGGACCCGAATCGACGGGGCCGGTTTACCTTTTCCTTGCATCGGAACCGCCCCCTACCCCCCGGGCCTAGGCCTAGAACCGGAATCGGTTTCCTGGGCCGGGCTGGTTCCCAGGCTGGTCGGACCGGGTCCACCACTAGGTGAGAGGGGAAGGTACGAGATAGAAAATGAGAACTTATTGAGAGATCGTGGTCGTAGGCTTATAGCTCTTGAAGGATAGTCGATGTGTAAAACTCTTTTGAACTTATATTTTGTTAGATTTTCAATTTTATAAGGGACCGTGTAAGACTGAGTAACTCGCCGAGTTGAAAACTTCACCAAGTTGAAAAGCTCATCAGGTACTCCACGAGTAACTCGAAAATTAACTTCGGACCGAGTAAGATAGCTACTCGACAACACTAATACCTGAGTTGCGAGTACCCACCGAATACTTGCCAAGTAGATAACTCAGTTGTACCATGCATGTGGTACAACTGGGTGTACCTACGTAATAATTTGCCTCTGACAGCTCCGAGAAAGGCCCATCACAGCATCACCTAGGCCCACTTATTTTTTGAAATTTTCTTTGCCATCTAAATTCTGTCAAAAAGATGAAGTTCTAAATTATTGATTTTGTGCACTAAATTGTTTGATGCTTCGTAATAAATATAAGTGAAGTTGAAAATACTTCTTAAATAAATTTGCTGAATAGGAAAATTTTAACTATAAGTTTTTACTTTATTTTCTTTGTAAAATACGTAGTATATGTTAAATACATATACGGAATATTATACAATTTGGCAAATTCAGTGTATTAATTTTAGCAATCAATAAAATCAAGGGAAAACTGTCAAATCAGTCTACCTACTATTTCAAAAAAGTCAATTGAGCCCATATACTATTTATTCAATCAATCAATTAAGTACACAAAGTTTAAAATTTTAGTCAATTTTGCCATTTAACTGGTAGCCCTTTATGTTGCTGACTTGGGTTCCACTTACAAAATTTGTACTGTTTTTCCTTTCCATTTTCCCCTTTTCCCCTTATTTTTGCTTTTGTGTTTCTTTTTCCCCTTTCTTAATTACTTCTTCTCCATTTCTTTCCTCTGGTTCGTGCCCCCTTCTTCATCCGCCCCTGCAATTCCCCCCTCTTCTTCATCCTTTTTTTTTTCAATTTCTCCTTTTGCTTCTTCTCCCTGCAACTCCTTCTCTCTCCTCTTCTTCTTCTCTCCCACTGCTTTTACCCCACGACCTCATGCATCCCCCCTCCCTTAATTCTTGCCCAGTTCACCTCCTTTTTGTTTCCCTTTTCATTCTTTTTCCCCATCTTCTTTCTCTTCTTCTCCACTCTTCTTCCTCTACCTTATCCAACCTTCTATACTCCCTTTTTCATGTCCAGAGAAGGTGACTGTGGCAATCCGATGGCGACCCTTCATCTTCTTCAATCAGTCAATGGAAACCAGGCGGTGACAGAGAAGGCGACGGAGGCGGCAGAGGTCAACGGCGGCGGCAGAGATTGACAGAGATGGCGGTAGAGATCGACAGTGGTAGAAGATGGAAAGCTAGAGGAGGAAGAAGGAAGAAAAAAGAGAAGAGAATAAAGAAAGAAAACAGACAAAATCAAAAAACGGAAAGAAGAAAAGGGGGAGAAGAGTTGCAGGGATGGGGAGAATGAAGAAGAAGAAAACATTTAATAAAAAAGGAAAAAAAACATTCTAATGCCACATGGACAGCCAGATAAGCGCTTGGAAAATGCCACGTGAATGATCCACGTAGGCTAATTAATAGAGGAAACCGGTCAATTACCAGAGAAAAAACAAATTTGGTCATTTTTTGATACTTGGTGGACTTAATTGATTGAATAAATAATATGTGGATTCAATTGACTTTTTCATAATAGTAGGTGGACTCATTTGATAGTTTTCCCTCAAATCAATTTTTAGGGTCACCAAACATGACTCTAAATGTTTCAGAAGCTGAGCTAACTACATTGTAATCGAGCTTTTTTAAAACGTCATTGTTGTGGTAAATATTAAATAACATATTCAAATGGAACATAAATGGTTTTCTATGTAGTAGAAAGTATGATTATCAGGAATATTTTACTAAATAACTCGCTTTGTTTTTCAAAAACACCTAGTAAGGAAAATAAACACTAAGCAGTACAGCAGCATTGCTCTATTCTGACTGCTGGGAGTTCAGCACCATATTTGTGGTAGACACGTCAACTCTGGGCTTGGCCGGCGCAGTCCCATTACTAAACATTCTTTGCAAGGCCTCAATTCGTTCGTTGATTAGGTCCGACTCCACTTCCTTCATTTCCGTTTGCTTATTTTCCATTATCATCTTAAGCTCTTCCATGTGTTTAATTTTGCATTCCAACTTCTTAAGCTAAAATAGTAACCATAATAACCATCAAAATGCAAACTGGTAAAATAATGACAAATTGGAATAACGAATAAAAAATGATGTGAGAATTTTTGCTGATTATTATTAAAAAGAATTTGACTAGATTGGTTTTTAATGGGTTTGTCTATATGAGGATATGTGTTACAACTTTAGTATACATCAAACTAAAGTAAATAATAGGGGAACATATCCATGACTTTCCTGAGGCTTGGCAAATAATCAGTTACACGCTTAATGTTTCAGAATAGTTACCTTCTTGTCCCTTTGAGATTTACAGACCACTAGATAAATGATTAAATTGACCATCCTTGAGGATTAATGGAGACTACAATATTTGTGGTGAAATCACAAGTAATGTAATAATAAAAATTAAAAGTAAGGAGAAAGAACAAAAATACCCTTCAACTATATGTCAAAGAACAAAATATACACTTAAACTTTTCTTTTGGAACTATTAAACACAAAAAACACAAAAACTGTAAAGTTGGAACAAATAAACCCTTAAATTATGTATGTGAGGATATATATACCCCTTAACTATACATCAAAGAACATATGTATTCGCAACTATTTAAGCATAAGGGCATATATGTTTTAACTTTACGATTTTTGTGTTTAGTTGTTCCAGATGAAAGTGCGAAGCATCAATTCAAGGATAATTTTTTATCTTCCACATAAATTACTATAACAACCAAAAACAAAAAGGTTATATTAACTAAGTTTTTTCAGAACTTTTTTAATGTACAATGTTAACTTGTACGGAGCATATATAGGAGGAGGCTTGACCAAGGATTTGCATTATGGAAGGGGCTGAGATAGGCGTACATTCCCAAGAAAAGGTACTTTTTTATTAGCAAATACTTCTTATTAAATAAGTACCTACTTCGTATATTAGTACATGTTTTGAATAAAACTCTAAAATGATCATAATCACTGGGACTTGAATCTAATGATTGAGATTAAGCCTTTTTTACTCGTTACTCTTTCTGTCCCAGATCTAAGCTTCTCACTTGCCTCTTTTGAATCCGTCCCAAGTGACTCCCAACTAAAGGTTCTTATTTCTATTTTGGGAAATAATTAACACGCTTAATTAACACGATTAAATGCCAACTTAATCATCAAATATTAAAAATAATGCACATATATAACATTAAAGATTTAAAGTTATCCTCAATGACCTTATTAGATTATATACTCATCAAACCTATTTCTCAAAATATACTGAACTAACCTTATTTAATTATTGTCTAAATAACTGTGTCATTTTTTAATGAGAAGCTAAAGTCGGGATGGAGGTAGTTCATTTTGAGGTACCCCATAATGAATTGGCATACATCCATCATGTATACACATTACACGCACACACATACACTCCATCCCAAATGAATTGACATTTTAGAAATGTATATGCAGAGTAAGGAACATTTATAATGACATTTCTACTCCCATAAAAACTAAATATAAATGCATCTTATTTGTTTCCAAGGCACAAAAGTACTTAATGTGGGTAATTAATAAGGGAAAATTTAAGATATTAGAACAAAATATATACTGAATTCGTATAGCATTTCAGTCACTTTTTGTTCATATTTCATACACTTTCTTTATCAAGATGTAATCTTAAATTTTTAACTCTCCATCCAAGGTGACCCTATGGTTCTCTTTGGATGGAAGTAATTGAAAGGGAAAGCTTTAAAAAGCTTGATCTTTATTTATTTAATTGGAGAGGAACTCAGTAGTAGTCAAATGAGTAGGGTTGAAAATAAAAATCAGGTCATTATGAGATTAAAAACGAATTTACGGACTTCAGTTTGTCAAGATATCTTTTCAAGGTTGTATCACTTTTAACTCAAGATGTGCTTGCGAACAAGGTGAAAGATGAAGATAATGTCAAGTGAAATTTCTCAATATAGGAGTACAAACAAGGTGAAATTCTAAAATAGGATTATTAGGTTGTTTTCCTTCAAATATGAGTATTAATGCTGTCCTGAAATCATACTACCATATTTTGGCATTAACGGACATTAATATGATGGTATTACTGTCATAATTAACAGAACTTTAAAAGCATGACTGTAATTGCTCGAATTTATGGAAGAAAAGCACAGTACTCCTATTTTGGAATTTCACATTGT